CTCATTAATCTTTAGAGACTTTACCAATTGCAATACTTCTTTGCAAACATAAAATATAAATACAACTTAAATTTTTGTTACTTAAAAAATTAGTCAATATAGTCTTTTATTTCTATGATAAAGATATAAAGCAAATTAGCAATAAAGTAGATAGTATCTAGTACAGACTTACTTTCAGCTACTGGTTTCTGCTCAATCTTTTCAAGAGCATCCATCAATGCCTCCCAAGTCGCTCCTCCATTCTTATCAACTTCATCAACTCGATTTAGCCATTTCCCCAAAGTCTCTCCCAGGCATGCTTTAGCATCTTGAGAATTATCACTTTTAATCGTGTTTAGCCGTGTTTGAAATAAACCTAACTTCAGTCCAAGGTCACTCCATTTACTATTATCGAAACTGCTGCTCTTTAATATTAAATCAATGTCATTCAAATCCTTGATGTCTAATTTTATGCCTATAATAAAAATTATAGGTTCTCACAACGGTTATTTCATAATGATAGAATAGACATAGCATTGTGAGCAGAAAAAATGCATTATAAATTTACCTCTTTTTTTCTTTGTAAAACTAATATTGGCACTGGTCTTATGATCAACTATACAGTAACAGTAGTATAAAATTATAATTTTATAGTATTAGTGTCTTACTTCTACTAGGATTTGCAGTAATAGATAATGGATATTCGGCTCCTTTTAATGGAAAGTTTAGATAGTCATCAGTAAGTAAATCACTACTGCCATTCCAATGAATATCAAATCTCATGTTACTGACTATATGCCCCTGACTTTGAAGGGCATCCTTGTGATACTATAATTAGAAATATCATATAAAAATCACAAATTACAGTTACATAGCTCACAGAAAGTGGATTGATTCTTCCTCGAATGATCCAATTCTCTAGTGGTGGATCAGGAGTTATAATTAGCTCTAAAATTTTGCTGTTTTCTTCAAATTTTACATCAAATTTTATATCCAGAATCCAGTCTTCATATTGTGTTCCATCAAATAACTAAACAATAGCCATTAAAAGACAAGAAAGCAATTAACTTACACTTCTTGTCACACCTTTAGTATGAGAATTGTAAATGACAAGGCTGTATTTCCACTTGTTACCAGCATCAGACATTTTGTAGAATAAAGAACCTTGAAAATTTCTGACATCTAAAGAGGTGACAACTTTTTTACCACTAAAACCAGTGAGTTTAAAATAGACATAAGATCCTTTGACAGTAAAATCACCCAAAAACTCATTAAATATATATGACATATTTTGTGGGGTGTCTTCAGCTGTTAAAACTTTGATTGATGAACTGTTTACACTTCCTTTCACATTATGCCAGATACCCAGTAGTATAGGATTAACAAATTCTTTACTGCTTGATATCCAGTATACAGCACTGGCTGGTTTCCAGGTTTTTAGATCAGGATAAACGTATGGACCAGACACACTAACACGAATGACAACCTCAGCCACAAAACCACAAGGAAGTGCGTCACTTGGAATATCCAGCATCAAACCATACTCATCCCAGTGTAACTGGGAGGATTGACCACCTGCTACTAAGAATTTATGTGATGCAATAACTTCAACACCTGGTAAAGAACCTAAAGCATTATAATTAATACAATACATAGCAACATTATGTTCATACTAATAAATATGCTGGGATCTGGCTGCCAACAAATAGCTACAAGAAGTACAATGAATGTTGTGTACAGAAAACCAATTGCTGCTGTTGATGGAGCTTTAAATTCAGGCCTTTTTTCAGTTTTAGGGTTTTCTTTGCTCACTATTTAATATGTTTATGTCACACAAAAGAGATCATTAAAGCTTACACTCTAGGTCTTGGCATTGATCCAATGCAGGTTCTTTCTCTCTTGTTTCTAACATGCAAATAAATTAATGCATAATGATAGAAATTACCTGTTACGCTTAATGGTTCTTTAGAAATTGGTAGGGCTTTACTTTCCTGTGTTGATGACTCACTGGAATATTGTGCAGAGCCTGAATGAACACATACTACTGAACCTGGTTGAGCAGTCTCTCCAGTATCATCAAATACAGTAGGCTCTGCATGGATTTTTATATCTTCATTGACTACATGTTAATTTTAAAAATAAAATAAATTCTCTCTCACCTTTATTTTCCTTTTTCAACATTTCAATTTCTGCATCTTTTGCCCTACTCATTTTACATTTTGCTTGTAATTCCTCCTTTAACTCTTCATTAGATTCTAAGTACATGTCTTTCATAAACAAACCAAGAGCAAGTGACATACCTTCTGATCGCTTTAATTCATTATTAATTGATGATAGCTCTTCTTTCATTTGACTTGCTTGTTCATTTAACACTAAAACTTCTTTTGCAAAGGATTCTTCTATGAAAGTAAAGCATACACATGTTATCAAGTGTATTTATTTCTTAGTGGATTATCAAATTTTGTACATCAGTTCAAAAAATAGTGACAATCATTATGCATCAATTAAATGCAAAAACACAAGCCACCCACGGGTAAGTCTTGCAAAAGTAGACTCCTCCCATGTTAATGAATCTGGCTTTGCAAGGCTATCGATGGGTTTGGTGACAAGTTAATATGACTGATTGGAAGTAGTGGTAGCTACAATTATCAAAGCACAGGTATTATACCTTACAATAATATTCCTATAGCTTTCATCTTAAAACATACCTTTTGCTTTCAAAAGATTCTCATGTTTTTGTTTCAATTCTTTTATTTCCTCATCTCTACTTTCAGTCTCTCTTTCGACAGCTACATACAATGTATATATACTATTGAAATGATAGAAAATTTTCTCTACCAATCATTTCCTCTTCTTTCTGTATTATGATAGCTTTAAGTCGCTTATTTTCTTCCTGCAAATCTTTAATTTTAAATAAAGTCACACAATACACGTTAATTTTTTTACTCTGTAGCAATGTTTGCAGCTTTCCAATGGATTCAAATTCATCAGATAAATACAGCTTCTTCAGTAGTATTAATTCTGAGTGTAATAATCAAAATGAAATAGTAAATCTTCATATATATGTACTTTCATTTGTCTTCAATAGTTTTTCTTCCAATGACTCCACCTTTGAATCTTTATTGGCAATAAAATACTTTTTGTATAGATTTAAACTAAAACATACCAATAATCTTGTGACTGCCTTCAAGTTCAAATTTCAGTTTCTTCATGTTTTGTACTAGATGTAGTTGACACTCTGATAATTTTTTGAATAGAGCTACATTTTAAGTTAAAGAAGAACTGCCTTAAATTATGTATATACTGTACGGGTAGTAAATTTTGAAGGATATAAAATTTAGTGTTTTAGTGAAAAGGTCTTAATTTTTTAATTTTGAGGGGAATTAAATTTCACATTTTTGCACGTGCACTTGCATTAAGTCATTGATTCTCACATGCTATGGCATGCGCAGTGAGCATTTCCATGGTATTAATTTTTCCGGTTAAGAAGTCACCCGCAAAATTTGCAAAATTAAATACCCATACAGTATATACATGTACACATATACCACTGCATGTAGTAAATGTGCTATATACACCATGTCACCATCACTAATAATAAATGTATATGGAGCTGAACTTAAACAGAACCGTAGTGTGTCAATTGGACCAA